ATTTGTGTTACTACACAATTCCACCTAACATACACACAACAAACACACACACACACACCCCTAAAAGGCTGAACAACAGAAGTGGAGGGTGAGTGAATTCAAAGCATGTTTAAGCTTTGTACTGTTTAGGAGGAGAATAAAGATATTAATTAACTTTCGACTTCCTTAAGCATGCATTTAGATTTCAAGGGTAACCAATAAAAAGCAGTATGTGTCTTCCAAAGCAGTGTGTATCTTCATTTTTTTCCTGTTTTTCCAGCAGAGGAAACAAATGAAAAAAGCAAACACTGAATTCAAAGTATGACAAATAGAAGGTGTGAAAAATAAGATGGTAGAAATAAAGCCAATTTTATCAGTAACTATAATTGTAAATTGACTGAACTCTCCAGTTAAAAGGTATGCTGTTGGACTTCAAAATAAAAACTCACCAAAATCTAGCCATATGCTGTTTATATGAAGAGAACCATTACCATGGTTCAAAAAAAAAAAAGGACGAATGTTATGGACAGAAGGTTTGTGCCCAACCGCCCCCCCCCAAATTCATATGCTTAAATTCTAACCCCTGATGTGATGATATTAGGTGGGGCCTTTGGAAGGCAAGTAGATCATGAGGGTGGAGCCCTCATGGTGGATTAGTGCCCTTGTAAGAAAGGCTATGAGAGCTTGCAGGGTCCTTCTGCTCTCTGCCACATGAGGATACAACAAGAAGACAGCCATCAGCGAACCAGAAAGCAGGCTCACACCAGGGACCAGATGTGCTGGCACCTTGATCTTGGATTTTCCAGCCTCCAGATCTGTGAAAAACAAATGTTTGATGTTTAAGCCGCCCAGTCCATGGTACTTTGTTATTGCAGGCTGAGCTAAGACATGTGAGATGCACCATTTCCACATCTCCTAAAAAAAAGGGGAACCCACAGAAAATGGAAAGAAAATAACAACAGTAAGAGAAGAAAATAATAACATAAATAAAAGACATAAAACTAAGAGGATCAACAAAATCAAAAGTTGGTTCTCTTAAAAGACTAAAACTACTGTGAAGTCTTTGGTAAAGCTAATAAGAAAATGACAACAACAAAAACAAAAACACCCAAAAAAACCAAGAGAAGGTAAACTATATAATATGAGTAAAAGAGGAGTACATAGCTACATAGAACAAAAGTTTTTTAAAAACCCCAAACCAGGAACTTTATGCCTATATATTTAAAGTATACAAAATGAACAATTTTCTCAAAAAATTTAACTTATCAAAACTGACTTTAGAAGAGAAAATCTGATAAATACCACAATAATCATTACAAAAATAACCAATAATTGAAAATCTTCCCTCAAAGAAAAGGGCAGGTCTAGACAATTTTGTAGGCAATCTGTAGCAGACACTCAAGGAACAGAGTATTTCAATCTTAAAAAAAAAAAAATCTAATATAGAAGAGAAAAGGATGAGAAGACTCTTGAATTCACTGTAAGAGGCTAGAATAACTTTAATTTCAAAACCAGAAAAGGAAATTGCAAGGCAGGAAAATTACAGGCCAACTTCTAGACAAAATACTAGCATACCAAACCCAACACTAGATTAATAATATAATCAACGTGATCAACCTGAATATTTTCTAGCAATGCAAGAGTGATTCAGCACTAGAAAAATTTATAATTCACCAACCCACCATATTAAAAGAGAAAAATGAATTAACAAACAAGATGAAGAAAAATGAATTAGTAAATTTCAAGATTTATTCTGTCTTAAAAAACAGACAACTACATAAACAAAAAACCCCCCAAATCCTTCTAGAAATGGCAAGGGACTTCGTTAACCTAATAAAGGGCATACCTACAGCTAATATTACATGATGAAATATGAACATATTCCCTTTACAATTATGAACAAGTATGCCTATCACCACTTTTACTCAACATGGTACTGGAAATCTGAGCAAGGACAGAAAAACAAGAGAAAAGAAAAAGATATAAAGGTTGGAAAGGGAGAACTAGATTTTCATTATTTGCAGGCAATATTTGTGTCTACCTAGCACCGCCCCACCAAAATCTGCAAATAAATTATTTAAATTAATAAAGTAATTTAGCCAGGTTACTGGACACAAAATCAATAAATAAGTCAACTGTGTTTCTATACATAAGCAGCAATCAGAAAATGATAATCTTAAAAACTTCGAGCAGTTGTAACGAAATCCCAACAGGAACTTTTTTTTTTAAGAATTTTATATGGAAAGCAGATATCCAAGAATAGCCAAGACACTTCTGTAAAACAAGATGAAAGGAATTATCCTACTAAATATCAAGAGTTGTTACAAAGGCATGGTCATTAAGATAGGTGTTACATCACAGGAACAGACAATGGAACTGAAGAGAGCCAAGAAATAAACCCGCGTGCATATGCATATGTAAACTTGATTTATGACAGGGGCGAGGGGGGGGGGGGGGGAAGGTCCAATATATGGACCTGGGACAACTGGTTACTGACATAGGAAGAAAGTGAAATTGGTTTCCTGCCTCACACCATACATGAAAATCAATTCCTGGTAGCATAAAGGCTTAAATATAAAAAGCCAAACTACAGACCTTTGAGGAGAAAATACAGAATATCTCTACGACCTCAGGGTAGGGAAGGCTTTAAGAAAGACCACAAAGCACAGACAATAAACAAAAGGATCAAGACAAGATTATAATAAAATTACGAATACCTGTTTATCAAAAGACACCTTTCCTTTGAATCTGTGAGACTGTACAATCAGGTCCATTATTTTATTCTGTCTACTGCTGAAGATAATTTTTTAAAAAAAGACACCATAAGAGTAACAAAAGCAGTCCACAAACTGAGCTTGAGCTTGTATGGCCATTACCATAAGTGAGGCCATCTTGGGCCCATACAGGCTTTCTGCTGACCCTACCCAGGACTGTACTGCAAAGTCTGTCACTCTCTGTTGTCAAGGGCTTAGCAGTTGATCGATATTGTTCACTAATCATTTGGATCAGGTGGCCTCTATACTCTGTTAGTCCCCAAACAATGAGGAAAATCTTCGCTGACATATTCCGGGCACCCACAAGACCAATTACCTACTCATAAATCTTAGGAACGCACTTCCTGTTTCTAAGCACATACCTCCATAGTCTAGGTCAACTATAAAACTGTCCCAATGCCCCCTTGGTGGTTTGGAGGGCGGCTGTTAATTTTTCCTGACGGTTGTCCGCCTGCTCTCAGCCTTTACAGGTAAGTTACCCTATGATAAACTGATTCACCGATTGTATGAACCTGCCTGCCGTGTTTTTCAGTCTCAAGATGCCTTCTCAGTACAGTAAGCACTTTTCATTCCCTCTGCCCTCAAACAGAGCTATTTGCCATTTACGTAAGTAAAAAAGGTATAGTGGTCAAATACATGTAAAGAATATAAATAAGAAAGACAAACAACCCAATAAGAAAATGAAGAGATATTTCATCAAAAAAACTGAAAAACTTTCGAAAAGATGTTTAACTTCTCTAATCAGAGAAACGCAAAATCGTAATGAAATACCGTTTCAACACCCTATAGGCAGACAAAACTTAAATTTTCTGATGCTATCCAATGTTGGCAAGTATGTGGGGCAACAGGAACTCTAATACTGCTGGTAGAAGTATAAATAGCCAGTAGGAATGGAAAATGCCTTTACAGCTTGCCATCATATTGTAAAACTGAAGAGGCCTATGCCACATATTCCAGGAATTCAACCCCTTGTGCAAGTACACCTACAATGTACACAAGATGTGTAGCAGTCAATCCTGGTGCTTCTAGAGTTACACAATGTCCACTGAGAAGGGGAAAGGAAAAATGTATGATACACTCTCATAACTCAATGAATAATTACAGCATCACATATCAATATGGATGAATCTCAAACCGGTCAGGTGAAAAAAGCAAGTAAAATAAATACAAATGGCATGAAGCCCTTTCTATAAAGATCAAAAGTTTGCAGTTACACAACTGCATCAGGAAGCAGGTAGCCACTTGGCAATGGAAATATTCTATTTCTTAAACTGGAGAATGGATTCATAAATGTTGGCTTTGCTTCACAACTCACATGTGTTATGTAAATTTTTGGTATGAAACACTTCATTCTTAAGTTTTGAACATTAGTGAAAAAGGGATTATTGAATGAACACACAACGGAGCTTCACACAGTTATTACCTGGAGGTTTGAACAGTATGGGACTTTTACTTTATATATTATTCATTCCTGGATCATTTAAAATTTTTACAACTTAACAGGTAGTCTGTCTGGGGAGAGATGATTACAGAAAGGAAAACAAACTTTATAGGAATCTGGGGCCCATCAGGAGGAGGGGCGGAATTGTCTTCAACTTAACACAATTTTTCCAGCGTGTCCTAAATTAAAACTAGGCTTAGCATACTCTGTGGGTTAAGGCTGTAATACTTTGAGAAAATTTTCCAGCAAAAAATGGGTTTTACAAAAGATTGGTTTTTACTGAAAGCATGCATACTTTCTCAGGAACAATTCCTGGCTTCACCTAATTTTTATTATACTTATTAGCCTTCGGGCCACTTTTCCAAAATTCTGCACTTTTCCACTTCTAGTACTGTGTAGACTGCCAGAGAGCTTTTTCGCTGTAAATAAACTAAATAAGCAAATGATGACTCCACTGGCCGCAGGGCCCACTTTTCCACACTCTCCACGCGCACCAGATGCCGCGCGCCCTGCGAACCCCCCAGGACTCAGGACGCCCGCCCCGCTTCGTGGCCATCGCGGTAGCCGCCGGGAAGGAGGCACCTGGACAGCGGGGCCCAGCGACTGTCCAGCTCCGGTCCCGCCCTGAGCTCGGGCGGGAAGGACCTGCCGGGGACGAGCGCGGTGGCCGTGCAGGACACGAAGGCTCGGCAGGCCCGGGGCCCCCGAGCCCGCGACACGCCGCTGCCCCGCCGGACGCGTTTCTCGCGGCATCCGTGCCTTCGCGACCCCGTCCGCGACCTCGGCCCCGGGGCCGGGCGCCTTACTTGCCGCTCTCCACGCTGTGGCCGGGATGTGGTCCAGCAAACAGGCGAAGCCCAGCACAACCATGACGCCAACTCCCGCGGCGTCCGCAACAGCCGCATCTTCCCGGCACGCCCCGCGGGAGGGGGGGGGGCTGCGTGGGGGCGGGGCCTCCGCGGGGCGGGCGGGGCCTCCGTAGCCAGCGCCGGAAGCCCGCGCTCCCGCACCTGGCTGTATTCAGAAAAAAGTGGAGCGGCTCGGCCTTATCCTGAAGAACAACCCAAACTACCCTGAACCTCGTGTTGATGAAAACCTCAAATCATGGCTGAAGTTGGATGAGGGAATGCTTCCGTTTGTTCCTCTCAATCTGAGGCGAAGGTCTCTTGGAAGCTCGCTGTTCCAGTCCACAAATAGTGGGCACCTTCTATTCTTTTGCCAGTGCAATAGGCTTCTTTCCCCTCAGTTCTGTCTTTATTTTTTTTACATTTTTGCTTGTTCAGTGAACTCTGACCCACTGACCAGGTGGCCTGGAAGATGATGTGACGAAAGAAACGGAAGAACAGCTTCAGGGCTAACAGCACATTTTGGCTTCTGTAAGAAACTTGCTTGCTTGCTTGGGGCAGGAAGAACCGGGTTCCTGATTGGCTGATTCAAAATTAACAGCTCCCTCCCGCCTTGGGGACTTCCCGCCCTGTGAAGGGTATAAAAGCCTCGCCCGGCTGTTAGTCGGGGTCTCACTCACTTCTCTCCGAGTGGGACCCTGTCCGGACAGTTTGTGTAAGCTTCTATACTTGTACTTGTATAAATCCTTTGCTAATCTTTTTGCTTGGTGTTGGTGATTCTCGGGTGTCCTTGGTTGGGACATGGGTCGCATTTACCGGGGAACTTGACTCCAGGCGTGTGGGTCCCGGACCGTAACATTTGGGGGCTCGTCCGGGATAGGACAGTGGAGGTTAAAGACCTGAAACAGGGTCCCTCCCTGTCTTTGGAATACTCGAAGTGGAGGTAAAAGACCTGAAACAGGGTCCCTCCCTGTCTTTGGAATACTCGAAGTGGAGGTAAAAGACCTGAAACAGGGTCCCTCCCTGTCTTTGGACTACTCGAAGTGGAGGTTAAAGATCTGAAACAGGGTCCCTCCTCCGAAGCCACCGCCTGCTCCTTCCTCGGGTAAGTTTGCGACCCTTGGCTTGCCGGCAAGAAACTAGGAGACTCCATTAAGGCTTGTCGGACGCGACGTTAAGCCTGGAGTCAGGAGGAGTCCCGGGACGCCGCGATTCCTCCCTGGGAATTCAAAGTCGGTTTCGATATTCTTTGGTCCCGACTTTGAACTGGGATTGTGTCAAAACTTGTTGTTCTCTCCTTCTGTCTTTTGTCACTCGTGTGTGTGCTCTTGCATTTGCTTGGACACTTTGGCTTTGTGCTTGTGCTAAAACTTTTAGCTCAACAGGAATTTAACAATGGGACAAGGTATGTTCCGGATGCAGACCCCCTTGAGTCTAGTTCTGGACCACTTCAGAGACTTCCGCCAGATCGGCAGGGAATTCGGGGTCTCCGTAGACCCGGAAACCCTCCGCACCTTTTGTGAATTGGAATGGCCAACATTTGAGGTGGGATGGCCATCCGAAGGTACGTTCTCTATTCCGGTTATAGCTGCGGTGGAAGATATTGTCTTTAAGGCACATGATGATCAGATTCTCTATATTGAGTGTTGGCGGGGTCTCGTGGAGACACCACCTGACTGGCTGAGGCCCCGGTTGCCCCCGCCGGGAGCTACCAACAGAAAGGGAACAAGATCTAAAGATAACATATGTGCCGCCAAGATGGCGGACGGGAAAAAACCTAATGTTAAAAGCTCTAAGTCCCCGCCCCGTCCTCTTGCAGGGGAGGGAGAGGAAGAAGAAGAAACCCCTCCTCCCGAGGCGTGTGCGCCTCCCCCTCCCTCTGTCCCTCCCGAGGCAGTTAGCGGCCCCGACAACGACATCCTCCCAGGTCGGCCCAGGAGACCGCATACCCGGTCTAGAGATCACTTGACTGAACCGCGACCCACTGCTCTGCCTCTGCGGCAACAAGCACGTAGACCAGGGGAGGCACAGCCCTTTCTTACTTACGCCCCCTTCTCCACGACTGATTTATATAATTGGAAATTACAAAATCCTCCATTTTCTGAGAAACCACAAGCGTTAATATCACTTATAGAAACTATATTTGTAACACACCAGCCGACCTGGGATGATTGTCAGCAATTGTTACAGGTTTTGTTTACCACGGAAGAAAGAAAAAAAAATCATGTGGGGGGCCCGTAAACAGGTACTTGGTCCAGATGGACGGCCCACTGATAACCCCAACCTAATTGAAACCGTGCTCCCTAGTACCCGACCGAAATGGAATCCTAACACGGAGGAGGGACGAGGGGCTTTGGCCCGTTTTCGCCAGGCTCTGTTAACAGGACTTCGGGCGGCAACACGAAGGCCAACTAGTATGACCAAGGTTACAGAGGTGACCCAGGGAGCCACAGAGTCTCCAGCCGCCTTCCTGGAAAGGCTGATGGAGACTTATAGGCTATGGACCCCCATAGACCCTGAGGCACACACACACAAAAAAAACAGGCAGGCGGGCAATTAACTTGGCCTTTGTGACACAGTTGGCCCCAGATATCCGAAGGAAATTACAAAAATTAGATGGGCTTGAAGGGAAGAACTTATAAACTGAGAAGAGACAGTCAAGGCAGGTATTAAAAGAAAAAGTATTCTCAGTCACTAGGCAATGTGTGACTTGTGCACAAGTAAACCAAGGGGCCAACTCACAACACCAGGAACTGCGTAGGTATCGAGGCAACAAGGCAGGCCGCTTTTGGGAAATGGACTTTAGCCTGATAGGAATTTTAAAAGAGGCCTTCTCTCCTAAGCTAAGTATTAAACAAAGGGGAAACCTTTGAGATACAAATGTCCTATCTGGTCTTCTAAGAAACCCTTATCTCTGCCATCTTTTTAAATGCAAATTTAAAAAAAGATGGTAAAGTAACTTAACACTTGACTTGTCAAGGATAAATAGAGATCCCAAGTGTCTTTTCTATAAGCACTAGTAAAAAGGATTTAGCCATCTAGATTGGTGACCTTGATTTGTTCCATCTGCCAGAAGCCCAATTTGAATCCAACCCCTTGTAACTGATAGATTTTATGTTGTACCTGACTCAGGACTGAAATTTTGGAATGGGAACAATGAGACCTCTGTGTTTGTATTTTCATACGTATCTATATGTGTGTTGTAGATGTATGGTATTGCCAAAAGTTAATTCATAGAAGAGCTCTACTTAATTGGCTTTTTAAAAAAATCAAACACATAAATACTCAGAAATAAAAAATAATCTGGCCAGAATAAATTTCAGGTTCATGTCATCTGAAAACTATTCAGTACTAAACTGATATCTGGTATTGAAGGTGGCTTAAACTTGTTGGTTTAATATAGACATGTCTTTAGAGTCATCAGTGTTGAGTACAATACTTCTGTTGTACCTAGGTTTACTAACGGTCAAATAAAACCTTATTCCATCTGTTATAAATCTGTCAACAAGAAAAGTAACTCAATGTAAAAAAAAAAAAAAACTTTTAAGGAAGGTAAGATGTATGTTTTCAGTAAAAAAAGGTGGGATAAATAAAAATAAAAAACATACTGAAAACAGTAATACATGATCAGGATTTTCTAAGATTGGACTGAATTTAGTTGGGTAAATGGATTTTATTAGGAATGGGCTAGAACAAGACTGGATTTGGTTTCTTCCCCCAAAGTATTCTTAAAATGCTGCTTTTGACAACAGACTGTGCGAGTTTCTTTGCATTTAAGTGATCTGTATTTGCTTTTGAGATCTTTTGTAACTTTGGTTAAGGAATAAGTATTGTCTCACAGTGACCTATGATCTTATTTGACCAACTGTTTTAAAACTTTTTGACAAACTTCCCAAATATCAAATTTTAATTGTTTCTTTTGATTTCCAGTTAACTTTGTGATACTTTAGAGGTCCCCTGAGGTATCTTAAAGAAAAATATTTAACTAAGATTACTTGGTATGTTAAACGTAATCATTCATAATTCTGGTTATTGTAACCAAGTTTCTTTATTGATTCCAAGGATTTGGACTGGATACAAAAGAAAAAGGGGGGGGATTAGATAACGAGAAGGAAGGAAAGATATGGATTACAGGGGGCCACTGGGACTCAACGCTGTTTTTGGACCACAGACAGGAAGGTCGACTTGGGCAAACAAACAGTCACCCACTCCTTCCTGGTCATGCCTGACTGCCCCTATGAAGGCAAGACAAAGATCACCGAATTTTTATTCCTGAGAACCTAGGCCTGATGTTGATACGACGCTTGCATGAGGGAACGCATCTGGGATCTACAAAATTACATGAACTGTTAAAAACTCGTTTTCGAATTCCATAACCAGTTTCCCGAAGTAACCTTATTACAATATGTGGATGATTTACTTGTGGCTGGAAAAACTGTGCGGGATTGTCTAACAGGAACAAAAGGCCTAATAAGGTTACTACAGGACTTAGGCTATAAACTCTCAATTAAAAAGGCTCAGATTTGTCAAGAACAAGTAAACTATTTAGGGTATATCCTAAAAGGAGGACAGAGATGGCTAGGAAAGCCATGCACTCAGGCCATCCTAACCTTACCAACCCCTACCACAAGAAAGGAATTGAGAGAATTCTTGGGAATGGCGGGCTATTGCCGGCTCTGGATACCCAGATTTGCAGAGCTGGCCAAGCCTCTATACGATGCCCTGAAGGGCGTTAACCAGAATGGCCCCGAAGCCACCAAGATTAACTGGACTGAGACACAAGGGAAGGCCTTCCAGGACATTAAAAGGGCTCTTACCTCACCTTCTGCTCTGGCACTCCCCAACCCTGATATGAACGAACCGGGGTGGCAAGGGGAGTACTAACTCAGAAACTTGGGCCCTGGCGAAGGCCGATAGCCTATCTCTCTAAACAACTGGACCCAGTAGCCTCCGGGTGGCCCTCATGCGTCAGACAAATTGCAGCCACTGCCCTGCTGAACCTCGGCACTGGAAACCTTTTGTACA